GTCGTATTGCCTCTCTGTGCCTTCACGCTGGGCATCAGGGAGCCGTCATTACCCGGCCCTCCACCTGGCCCCCTGTTCGGTAGGAGGAAGGCAAAAGAGGTAGGCCGCAAAGGGGCAACACCGGCTGCCTTCCATCTGCGCGGCCTTGGTCCCTTCTGGCAGGAGCTGGATCTCCCCGTGATGGGACAAGACCTGGACTGGGAGAGCCATCACCAGTGCACCAGCTCAGGGAGGCCCGAGCTGCCAGCAGCTGAGAGCTGTGCTCTGAGGAACGCAGGGCCGGAGGTCAAGCCAGCTCCTACCCCCAGCAAGTCCCTTCCTGCAGCACAGAGAGGAAGCACAGGAATGCAGCTGAAAGGGTTAGGACCCAAAGGGGAGAAAAAAATGTCAAAGGAAGCCCTGTATCTTTCACACAACATGTAATTAACTCTCAGCAGAAGATGCCATGGATTCATAATGGGAACCGACAGCGGGGGAGGAAGGCTCTGACAAGCATGAGATTTCTCATGGGTCTTTTTTTTTTTTTTAATTTTTTAAAGGAACAAGAACAGTTGCAGTTATAATCCTGGACCTTCAGTGATGGTGTCTCCCCAGCAACAACCCCGATCATGCTATGTCATACACCCAGACAGAATGAATGGGAAGGGCTTTTCTGCCCCTGAGCTCTCCCCCAGCCCTGATGGCCTTACCATTTCTTGTCCCTGGTGCTGCAGGGTGGACCTGTCAGCAGGCTCTGCTCTGTCAGCCTGCCCCAGCATGCAAGCTAGCCCCACAGCCCTCTGCTCTCCATGACAGCAGTCCTTGGAGTCACCCTGGTCTCTAGCCAAGGGCTCCCAGGGTCACTGTCTGGTGAAAGTCCAGGCCTCCTTCCTAATGCCCTGCCTTTGGTAGGGTGGCTACCCCCTGGGAGGAAGGGAGGTGCAGCTGGAGAGGAAAGGTGGGAAGCTCCGGGGCGGGGTGGCTGCAGGTGGGCAATGCCTGTACATCTGCCAAAACAAATGTCTCCAGCCCTCACCCAGGCACAAAGGGCTCTCTGTGAGGGACACACCCAGCCCCATGTGCAATCCGGGAGGCTCACGTTTCTTAACACAAAGGAGGCCCATTCCCAGACTGGCCTGGGTGTGGCCTGTAGGCTGAACCCTGCTGGGAGCGCCCCATGGACTCCTGGTGACCCATCCGGGTGACTTTACTCTGCAATATGATCTGATATGCACATCAAGATGGAGAGAGGCCTTGGAGGCAGCTTAACTCCACAGGACATGGCTTGTACACACACACACACACTCACTCACTCACTCACTCCAACTGAGAGACAATTCTCAAACTAACCCTGCTTAGACTAGTCAACTGCTGCAAGACCCTTTCCCCCAACCCCAAGCCATTGCCACAGAGAAATTAGAGTAGGCCCCAAAGAAATCAGGCTAGGAAGTAATGCAACAAGAGTTCCTGTACTGACCCCAGGCATAATTTTTCTTTCTCTTCAGAACTCAGAATCTCTCACTGCCACTAAGCATTTCCTCAGTGTGACCCTGCTATGCATGAGTAAAAGAAAAACCTGTGGGTAGGCACAATAGTGTGGAGGGCATATTGATGGGGTCCTTGCTGATGCATCTTTCAGCCAAGCTGGAGGTTCATCTGGGGTGGTAGTGCCGCGTCATGGAAAGGGTGGGTTAGGGAGGTACTTAAACCCTTCCTGGGCTCTGCAGGCATTGTGTTTTAAAATGGAAGAGTTGGAGTGGGATTTCTAAGGTGTGTTCAGCAGTCAGTCCAGCCCTGAAAGCCACAGAGCCTCATGGCTGTCCTCGAGAACGTGCTGTCCATGCAGCTCCTGAGACCCACTGTTTCAGGTCGGCCCCCCAGACATTCCAGGGGCAGTGGCGAGCACAGTCCCTCCCCAGCCACAGCGGAGGTTGATGGTAATGCACAAGGAGAGTACAATCTCTGAATGTAGGGCCTTTCTCTGTCCTGTATGCCCTATGCTGTGAACTATGAAGACACTCGTTTATTGAACATATATTTTTCGAGCACCCGTCTGTGTGCCATTAAATAAAACTGACAAAATTCCCTGCTCTCAGGAGCTTACATTTGACACAAAAAGCACATAGGTGCTTCCCCTCTATATTCATTTCATAGGGCTGCTGTAACAAGTACCACAAACTGGATGGCTTAAACAACTGAAAATGTATTTTCTCAGATCTGGAAGCTAGAAATCTGAGATCAAGGTCCTGGCAGTATTGGTTCCTTCGGGGGGCTGGGAGGAAGTATCTATTCCAGGTAGCTAGGAGAATCTCTCCTAGCTGCTTGGGCTGGCTGGCAATCTTTGGAGCTCCTTGGCTTTATGGAGGCATCACCCCCATCTCTGCCTTCATTTTCATATGGTGTTCTCCCTGTGTCCAAACTTCCCCTTATATAAGGACACCAGTTATATTGGATTAGGGCCCATCCTAATGACCTCATTAACTTGATTAACTCTGAAAAGATTCCATCTCCAAAATAGGTCACATTCTGAGGTACTGGGGGTTAGGACTCCAACATACCTTTTTTAAGGGGGTGGACACAATCTATAACACCCTCTACAGAAAAATGTTGGAAAGTATGGAGGAAAGTCATTTACCCTTAAGGTGCCTAAAGTTTCCTGCTTCCTCAAGATCTCCCATGAATGCATCTGATTGGCGGAGCCTGGGTCATATGCCTGTTCTCCACTGCAAGGCAGTCTGGGAAATGGGGTTTCTGGTTTCTGCCTTGGGGAGACCTGGATAGTTAATGTGGGATGTTCCCCAAATACAGGAAGAGCATTCAAAGGGTTCATGCAAAGGTGGCCATAAAGCACAACATAAATCTACTATGTGGTTGCTTTCACATTTTCTCCAAGGGAGCCCATGGGCAGAGAATAAGGACCACAACTTCCATTTGTCATGGCATTCCTTTAGCATTGTATGCTGCCCCCTGTGGGGACCAAATATTGATGACCACAGAGGACTCCTGGCGAATCTAAACAGATAACAAGAAATATTTAGTAAGCATTCACTACGCGCAGGCATTTTTCTCAGCTCTTTACATTCATTGTCTCATTTAATTCTCACAGCAGCTGTGAGATAGTGCCCTTCATAGCCCCCTTCACAGATGAGAAAATAGAGGCACAGTGAGGTTAAGTAACTTAAACTTCTAGTGGAAGAGCCAACATTTGAACCCAACAATTTCAGTCCGAGACTGAGAGCTTAACCCCTATTCTTTCTAACAGATGAAAAAAGATGGAAGACAGAAGAAAAACTTCCCAGCCAGCACTCAGGGAAGGTAGCTGAGTGCCATTCAGACATTGCCAGGCTGTCAACCTGGGAGCTCAATGGAGCTACTCCTGAGTGGTGTGCACATTGTCTCACACTCTCTGAGCCAAGGTGGGTGTGATGTTGGCCTGAGGCTCCCTGACAAAGTCCTTGGGAATCATGGGAGGGAGGCGTGGGAAGAGGCAGGAGTTAGGAGGTTGGAGAGGACCTGCAGCTGGATTGCTCAGGGCCAGCCCAGGAGTCTCTGCCTGGCTTGGCTGAGGAAGGTTGACGTCAGAGGACTGGGTCCTGAGCTTCCGGACTTAGCTGGGCTGGGCAGAGGCTGGTTCTACTGCAAGGGCAGGGAGGGCCCCAAGCTGGTGCCTTGCCAAGGTACTGCCTAGCTGGAGCCAGGATGTTCCCAAGGGTTCTTCCCCAGTGACTTAAGAGTCGGGCCTCTCTGTGGCCAGGTGGCTGCCACTGCAGACCCTCCAGCTGAGGTGCTCTTGGAACATGGCTCAGATACCTGCCAAATGCCCAGAAGTAGAGATCCAGATCCTCTGCACCTGCCCTGGAGGAGCTCTGGCCACTTCTTACTCCTGTGACCCTGGACACTGGAACACTGCTATTACTATTACCTTGGGGGAAAAAGATGGGAAAAAGAGCCAAAGTAGTTAAAAATAGAAGGCACAGCCCTAAGCATACCCAGCTGGAGATTCTCCTGTGGTCCTGGCCTGTAGGATCAGGCCTCGAGTCACACACTCCAAGTCTAGAGCATAATTCCAAGCTTTGATAATTTTGCAGGGGTGTTCATCATTCACTAGTGATCCTCCATCACAAGAAAGCTTGGACCCGCCTAGCAGCTTCCCTTTCCAAAGGGAAACAGGGTGCATGGTGGCTGGGCTTTTCTTAAAAGGAACCAAAGAGAAAGGTGAAAGAGTATTTTCCTTCAACAGCCATTGATAAGGTAAGAATAGGGTGGCTCCTATATACAAGCAGGACATTTCCAAAACACACACAGATAACAGAAATCAGAGAGAAGAGTGAAGGAAAAGAAATTATTCACTGGAGATTTTATTACAATAGGTAATTATGAAATATGTAGTTAATAAGAAGTTCAGATTAAGAAATGTTTGCAATCAGTAGTGTTTCATAGTTTTAAAACCAGATTAATAACTGCAATAACATGAAAAACACTAATGCCTTTCATATGTCCTGTTGTCCAACTGTCTCCTCACAGATAAGAAGCAGAAAAAAAAGGACATTCGTAGAATGTAAAGAATGAGGTGAGGCCATGGTTGCCAGATAAAATACAAGATGGCCTGTTAACTTTGAATTCCAGATAAAATGATGAATATTTTGTTAGTATAAGTATGTTCCATATATTGCATGGGACATACCTATACTAAAAATCTATTATTGTTTATCTGAAATTCAAATGTAACTGATCATCATATATTTGTATTTGCTCAATCTGACAACCTCAGGTGGTTGCTTTATCCACCCCAGTAGGGAGAGACCAAAGAGAGAATTCTGGAAAAGAGGCAGGCAGGCATAGGCTAAATGAAAGGGACTCCAGGGAGGCCAGGCCTTGAGTCTCAGGCTGCCCTGGTGGGGCCCTGGGAAAAGGCACTGGGCCTCTTCTCAGAGCTCTGTTTCTCCCTGGAGGGGACAGGCGGTGCCCAGCAGCTGTAGAGGGAAGCCTTGAAAACAACCTGAAAACAACTCAGGCTTCTCCCTGTAGTTGCCAGTGAGGAGAAGCCAGGCTCAAGGTGGCAACATCTCCAAGTGCACCCAGACCATATGCCAGCCTGTCTCCCATGGGCTCAAGAGGTCATCCTGCCCCAGAGGTATAGTGGCACTGCCCACGCCTCAGCTGAGCCTGTAAACTCCCCAGCCTGCACGGACCTCCCCTTCAGGCCTGGCTGTGGCAGCCCTGCCCCACACTGAATTCCCCCACATGCTCTGGGGCTGAGGTCATTGAATCTCTCCGGGGCCTTCCCTATAGGACTGAAGTGCTGATCCAGAGACATTAGCTGGGTGACTAGCTATTTGTGTACTACCAAAAAGTACCCTGGGAAGGCCAAGTGTAGGCACCTGTTCCCCAGCAGTCCTGGGAAGATTGCTGGGTGAGAGTGCAGACATCTGTCCCCAGAAGGTGAGTGGAGCCTGCCTGCCTCAGGGCTCCGGCTGGGTGAGTTGCAGACCCACCACCTTCCCTGACCCCTACTGTGCCAGCTCTGATGAGGGTCAGGTCCTCCTCAGGGCCTTCCCCCCAGCACTGTGGGGGAGCTGCTCTTGTGTCCTTTCCCAGGATAGTGAGAGGGAGGGAGAAAAGGGCAGGCCTGCCTGGGAAGTTTCCACTTGAATGTTGGACCAGAGCATTCATGGGAGTGCTGAGAAAGGAAGGACAGCCTAAGAGGAGAGCATTTCTGATAATCTTGTGAGGTGGTTTTAGTTCCACTTTTACAGATCAAATTGAGGCCCTGAGAGGTTATGGAACTTTCCTCAGGTCACCCAGTTAGTAAGTGGTGGAGCCCAAAATCCGACTCAGACTTCTCTGACTCTGAAACTTGGGCCTGTCCTATTCCTCTTGGCTGCCCGGGAAAATTCTGTCTAGCTCAGGAGGAAATATCCACTATTAACTCTGTTATTCTGCTATTGTCTGGTTCCTGCCTCCCCCATTACCTCCAAGACTTGGCTAGAGTCTGTGAAGTTTCCTCTAGAAAATAATACTGAAAGGAAACAGCTGCACTTCCCTGTGTCCACACCAGGAACACCATCCTCCTCCTGCAGAACTGAGTGAGCGCTCTGGGCCAGGCTGCGCCGATCTCAGCACGTTGGGAATTGCCCCTGGTCTCTGTCCTTGCATGTCTCATTTGGTAATTCCTGACAGACTGAAAACCACATTCCCTGGTGCCCAATCTCATAAATCTGGCCTGTGTGGTTGGTTGAGTTTGTAAAACTGTGGGTGGTAGGCCCCCAGGATTTCCCCCACCCCGCAAGTGGTGCTAGGCCTGGTCTCTGCCTGCTTAGTTTTCCTCAGACCTCACCACACAAAGTGGTCAAGCCTTCCTTATCTTCCCCTTTTGGCTTTGGGCATTTCACATGCTCTCTGACACTCCCGCCACCTCAGGTCACTATTTCTCCCCCTCAACGCCTCACAGCAGTAAGATGGCAAGGAACTTTCAGTTCTGAGTGTGGTGGGGAGAGGAGGGGAGGAGGCTAGAGCAGGGAGAGTTGGGAAGGATTGAGAGAGTCTGTGTCTTCTGATCATGAACTTCACTCCTGTATTCATTTATTTGCTCATGTATGTGTGTAGGCTGGGTGGGAAAAGACAGGAAGAGGTGGAGGCTGGAGGTGTGATATACCAACCAGGCCCCACACAGTCCAGCTTTGCTCAGTCTCTTCAAAGAGGCGCAGTCCATCAACCAGAAGTCTTTAAACAGGACTCCCAAGCTCTACCTGCATGGCCTCTGCAGCAGATTGACTCAGTAGCACTTAGAAGCACCTGTCTTCTGACACACCTTGTAGCTCCTCCAAGTTTCAAGAAACATCCAGCCTATGCAGTGTCTTCTTTTAGTTAGGGTGTGGATTTTGGAGCCAGACTGCCTGGGTTCTAATCCTGGCTCTGAAATTTATCAGATTTGGGCATGTTACTTAATCCCTTTCTCCTCAAATCCCTGCCTCTCAATGGGCATAAGGGCATGTATGGCCTAGGGTTGTAGTGAGGATTATAACGTTAACAGTCGCAAAAGACTTAAAATAGGCCCGATGTTATGTAAGTGTGAGTAGCCATCATTATTGTTATTATTATAATTATTCTCTCTCCCCTTTCCTTTCCTCCCACATCCCCAGTCCAGTCTTTATCAGCCCACTGTCTTTCTGGAGCTTTGGAGGGCTGCTGAGCAGAGCTGTTCTTAGAGGGTGGTGGTGGCAGGTTGGAAGGCTACAGACTCCAGCACAGAAATGGACCTGTACCTGATGATTGAGAAGGTGTGGGGCCCCTACAGGTGATTCTGGAGTGGAAAGGCACTGTGCTGGAATGGATCAGGGCCCTGGGGCCCGCAGCAGGGGTGTGTCTACTGGTGGCGAGAGGACCCCCTGCTTTAGGCTCCAGCAGTTCAGTTCAGAGGAAAACTTGTCAGTAGAGGACTGCTGAGGGTGTCCAGACTGAGGATGCAATCAAAACACTCCTGCCATGGAACTTGAATGGGTTGACTGGTGGATCCCCAAAAGATATGTCCATGCCCTAACCCCCAAAACCTGTGAATATGATCTTATTTTGGAAAAGGGTCACTGCAGATGCAATTAAGAATCCTGAGATGAGATCATTCTGGATAATCCAGCTGTGTCTCAAATCCCATGACAAGTGTCCTTATAAGAGCAGGAGAAGGGAACTCACAGATACCGAGAAGGCCACGTGAAGACAAAGGTAGAGATATGAGTCATGCCACTGCAAGCCAAGGAAAGTCTGGCGCCACCCGAGGCTGGAAGAGGGGCAATTTCGGAGAGAGTGCAGCCCTACTTTCCGGTCCCCAGAACTGTGAGAGAATAAATTTCTTTTGTTTTAAGCACCCAGTTTGTGGTAATTTGTTATGACAGCTGCAGGAAATTTATACAAGAAACAACTGCAAAAATCCCCCTAAAAGGAAAAAAAGACCATGGTCTGCAGTGGGGAAGATGGAGAGAAGTAAAACTCAAAGGCTTAATGAAGGACTTTCATCAGAGGGGCTGCATATGACGGTGCAGGCTGCACACTGCACAACGGAGGGATGCCATCCGCAGCATGATGGTAGATTTTAATACTTATTGCTCTGTTTTTCCTTCCAAGGTCAGTAAGGTGTCTTGAGGAAGGGGTACCTTTTCCTAAGACACACAAAGGTACCCTGTGGCCTTGTTAGTTTTTGGTGAGAAACATTTAGATAGTGCTATTCAATGGAACATTCCTGCAAGGATGGAAATGTTAGCTGCCTCACCCGATACAACAGCCACTAGGCCAGTGTGTCTCTTGAGCACATAGAATGTAGCTTGTGTGACTGAGGATCTAATGTTTAAATTTATTCCATTTTAATTAATGTAAATTTAAATAGCCACATGTGGCTGGTGGCTACCCCATTGGACACACAGCTCTAGGACAAGAAAATGGAAACTCAGGACTGCTTGATGCAGAACTTAGTCCCCAAAGCATGGTCACTGTTCATTTGCTGCTGTTCAGAGCCCCTCTCCGACCGCACTTCTTGTTTGGGGAGGTGAGGGGATCAAACAGGGACCTAGGTGGTGGTAGAGATGGCAGCAGGGATCAAGGAGTGCTGGAGAATGAGAGAAATGCCTGAGTGGGTGGGAGCAAGGGCCCAACAGCAACTTTTTTGAACCTATTCTTGTTTTCATCCCTCAGTTTGGGATATGAACTTTTTTTTAATTTTAATATTCTGGGCAGTTTTTTTTTTAATTAACGTATCTTTGATATACACTCTTACAAAGTTTTCACATGAGCAACATTGTGATTACTACATTTACCCATATTATCAAGTCCCCCCCACACCCCGTTGCAGTCACTGTCTGGCAGGGCAGTTGCTGTAGAGCCACTGCTTGTCTACTCTGTGCTGTTATGCCTTCTCCGTGACCCTCCTGGGGGATAATGAACTTTCATGTGGAGATAATCATAGGGATGGGCAGGGGCTCCAGTCTGGGGGCTCCTGGGCCTCGATGTCATTCGTTCCTCGAATGCAGGCTCTGTGGGAGCAGGTTGGCTTATTTAACTCCCATCAACTCTGCTTGGAGAAGGTGGGAGTGCTCCCTGTCTGTGCCGCCCCCCTCTGCCCATCCATTACCCCAGTGCTGAGGCATGTGAGCAGGGTGTGGTGTCAGAACTGTTTTAACTGCTGGAGAGCAGGACATTTGCCCGGCTGTGACAAATTGATCACATTCCCCCCGCCTGCTGACTAACAGCCAGGGTGGATTTACTGCGAACTTTTAAGGGTAAGTCAGTCAGGCAGTGAGGACCTTGCTTCTCTGGCAGCACCAGCCTCACCCAGGAGCTTGTTGGAAAGGCAGGCTCTCCGACCCGGCCCTGACCTGGGGAGTCAAGGTGGGTTGTGAGGATCTCCAGGTGACTTGGGGGCACAACAAAGCTGGAGAAACGCTGAGCAAGGTCAAGGCCCATTTCCAGACCCATTTAATAGACTTGCCTGGAGTGAGTTAACAGAGTTGGACCAACCTCGCTGTTTAAGAATTCTGTTGGCTTTGCCGCCATACGGTTTCCCCACACCAAAGTCTGGTGAAAGGTGATGCCTCTCAGGATTTTCTGAAGAAAGCCAGCAGCCCATGGCTGACATCAAAAGCGCACATGAGCTTCCTTTCAAAGGGCTTAAACAGACGCAGCATCACCCAGTTGGAAGTGGTTTTCCTGGGTGTGCAACATCCACACAGCAAGAGGTACAGGCGTTTAAAATGATGATTCCCTTGAGAGACTGATTTAACAAAAAGTAAAATGCAAATCGAAATTATAGTGTCTCCTCATTGTTTAAAGAAAAGTCTATATGCATTAAAAAAATGGTGTCTGGAAGGATATATTCCAGAATCTATGGTGAATTAATGCTGTTTAGCCGAAGGCCATCAGGAACACACGCAGAGCTGGGTTTATCTGCTTGTTGCTGTGCAAGAGTGCACAGCGTGGGCACCACAGCGCATGTCCATCAGAGGACCCCAGAGGGGAATCTGCGTCAGGTTTGGGCCTATGGCCGGTGCCCTGGAGGATGGGCCAGGCAAGCAGGGCTTTGTTCTGGACTGGATGCTGCCAGGAAGCGCAGGGGTAATTTTATGAGTGGATGTTTTAATAGCTCTTATTAATGGAACATTAAGAATGGAGAAAGAAATGGAGTGAGGCTGTGACTGGTAAAAACAGAAACAAATGGGCGGTCACCCACTAGCCGGCGTAGGGGACGCTTGTTTGTTTTGCGTCTGAACAGTGCTCTTGTTTTGTCATTCAGACAGGACTGTCGAATGGTCTCGCTTTTGTCCTGGATTTCAGAGTTGCAGTAGCCTTGGCTGATGTTCTGTGGAACTGGTCATGCCCAACAAGGCCCATCTGTGTGTGCCAGGCCATCTCCCGGCTGGCAGGGGCTGCTTTGCTCTTTCTCAGTTGTAGCCTCCCCACAGCCTCTGGGTGTTGGAATTGAGGGTGAATTTCACTTTCTACTTCATATTCTGGAGAAAAATTTTTTTACAATGATTATGTATTATATTTGTCTTTAGAAAAATAACTATTTCCTTTTGGGGAAAAAAACCCCCTCCTATTTAAGAAAAGGCTCAACTGGATCAATCATCCGCCTGGGCACCTGGTGGGAGGGGCAGGAGTCCTGTCCTCATACTCCCCCAGCTCTGCCTCCTGCAGAGCAGCTTAACTTAAACATTCCCCCAGGAGGCAGGCTGGGCGTGCCAGCTTCAGAGTTTAGGTTGGATTGGAAATTGGTATTGCTCAAGACCTCATTCCAATGTCCAGGTGGTGAGAAGCACGGCTGGGTTGTCAACACTGGGTAGAGGCCACTTGGACGCTGTGGACACCTGCTCAGTGGGGCTCCCTCGCAAGAGGCTGTGGAATGGCCCAGAGCTCTGGCTCACCCCTTGGCCTACCTATCAGAATCACCTGAGCAGCTCTGACACTCACCCCCTCCCTCCCCGCTGCTCAGCAAACGACCCAGCTAAATCTAGCTCCCTGGGGGCGGTGCCCAGGCATGAGCATTTCTGTCACTCCCCGAGTGTGCCTGCTCTGCCCGGCACCCTGCCTGGCCTTTGCTCCTTCCACTTCTGTACTCCCCACTCTCCTCTTTTCCACTCCCATCACCTCAAGTCTGGGTCAGGCCCTCACTTCTCTCCCCTGAAATCACCTCTGTCCTCCATGTTCCCTGACTGATCTTTGTAAATAAAAATCGAGGTCACTTGTTCTCAGCCCTGGCAGCATATCACAAAAACCAGGGGAGATTGAAAAGAGATTGAAAAAACACTTCCAGTGCCTGGGCTCCACCCGCAGAGTATTGATTCCATTGGTCTGGGGTGGAGGACAGGCACCGATATTTTTAAAAAGTTTCCAGGAGATTGTACTAGGCAGCCAGTGTTGAGAACTACAGTTTTGTGAACTTTACTCCCTTCCCAGCAGGGGCCAAGTAGATGAGCTAACCCTGTAAACTGAGGTGCACGGCTCCTCTAGGGCTCCTCTAGGGAAGTGTGTCACAAGGGGTAGGGAACCACTTTGCCAGAGAAGGCCACGTGACCGTCCGCGTGTGGGCGTAGTGGTGTGGCCCCCCGTGGTTCGCGGCGGGGCTTGGGGGATGGGGAGTTCAGCCGCTACAGTGACAGAACCTTGAGATGAGTGTCCCTGGCAGAGGAGGCCTGGAGGAGGACAGGGGAAAAGACGGGAATCACATCCTAGCCGATGTCTTTGGAGGGGAACTTTGCAGGGACCTGGCTCCTTTGGTAGCAGCGGGGACACATGCTGGAAACTGGCATGCATCTCTGTGAGCACTTGGTGCAGAGAGCCCTGAGCCCAGGAGGCTCTAGGCTGCCGGGAGGCCCTGCCCCGATCCCCGCTTCAGGGCCTGGCATGCCACCACCAGCTTCAGGGAGTGCAGCCTGCTGATTGCTCAGTGCTGAGTGCCTCCACAAGAAGAGCCCCAAACTGCCAGGGTCAGCGCTGTGCCCTTCCCTGGGGGCATCTGCATCAATGACTAGTCAGTGGTGGGGACAACGTTCTGGGCCCCTTGTTCTGTTTTAGGACACCTGAGCTTCAGAGCTCCACCTGGCATCAGCTGAGGCATCTGCTGCCCGAGCCTGCTCCCTTCACTCCCCTATAGGTGTTGCTCCGGCAGTTTCCCCAGTAAGCCACCCCGCATGCAAATCTACCTCGGAGCAGCTCCAGGGTACAGTACCTATGAGGAAGGCCCACAGTATATGTGTGTGAGTGAAGAATGAACAGGGCCAGAGGGCTGCGAAGGCGGGTTGCATTCCAGCTGCTTTTGGGACCTTATGGAACATTTGTAGGTCCAAAGGGCATGAACACTGCAAATGTGATCATATAAGTCCCCTGCTTAAAATTCCTCAATGACTCCCTACTGCCAACGGGATAACCTCCGAACACCTCGGCACACTGTGTGAGTGTGAGTCCTTCTGCTGTCTAGCCCGCCTGCCGCTGTAGGTGCATCTCCCTCCCCACTTCTCAGGGCAATCAGAACTGTCTGCAGCTTTCCAAACTATCACGCTGCTTCCCACCCCTGCCTCCACACAAGCTGTTCGCTGGTTCTGGAAGCCCTTTCTTCACCTGGGTCACTTGCATTCCCTCTTCATTGACATCATCTGTCTCCTTGCTCCCCTTCTGGTTTGGGTATTGTGTGAGAGACAGGCTAGCTCTTAGTTGTCTTAGTTGGGTATCTGCCTCTCCAGGACCTGACGTATTGGTACACGAGGCTGTACAATAATACCATGGCAGTGGCTGATCCATTCATTCATTTAATCATTTTATTGCGGTAAAATACACATAACATCAAAC